CACCGCACCGGTAATGCGTTACACAAGACGTCCTTAGCTTCTCCCAGAGAACTAGATAGCAAAATGACGAGGCAACAGCTGCCTCCCTGACCTTGGTTTTGTCTGCACAGTTCATCACAGCGGTATTTATACCAAATATGTATCTGCTTCTGACCGCTCCTAAGCGACTACGCCGAATGCTTAGGGCTCAGTTCGTCATACCAGTCCCTGAAAAGCTTAAGAGGATCTCGGGCAGGGCAAGGCAGAGGGGGGAGTGTCCTCGCCCAGCTCCGGCAAGGAGCGCATCTCCCCACGGCACAGCACAGCTCCCCGTCCCGCCACGGACCTCCCCACGGACACCGACAGGCAGAGCCAGCAGCCGCAGAGAAAGGCCGGGCACTGCACCCACTGTGCAGGTCCCCAACGGGGTGCTTTGGAGTGGGAAAGAGCTGAATTTGCTTTCAAATTACCTGTTTCTAGGATGAGAATGTCAGGGCAGGGAAGAGCAGCTTGGGTTTGCTTTTCTAAAGAAGGTCTGCTACACTGGTTAACCCAGGCCCTCTCCTGCTACAGAGACACATGCATTTCTTCCTCACCCCCCTGCCAGTGAGAGCCCCAAAACTTCTGCCAAAAAACCTCCGAAGAATGAAAAGAGCCTGAAGTAGGGAAATGCCCACTCATATGCCCACTTCAGTCTCTTCTCGTGGTCTCTCCTGCAGCAGCCACTAAAACACACGCCAGAACAGGCGGTAGGACAGGGCAACAGGCGGCACAAGGGCTGTTGCCACAACGTACGGTAGGATCCCCCACAGCCTCCCCACCGCGCTGTTCACCTCCACCACAGCACGTCACTCAGCAAGAAGACAGCATTACGCTACACTACGTGAATTTACTCCTGATGTCAGCTTGCAATCAATTCCCTCTGCCCCCCCATAATCCTTTCTGCCAGCCGTGGGTTTTGGTCCCATCTCCAGTTTTTACCCTGCTAGGTTGCTCTCGCAGCCTCCCCCACAGAAGAGGTACCTGCCCTGCACGGCCTCCCCAGCCCACCGCAACACCCTGTCCCGCAGGCAAGCGCCCGTGCCGGACTCCTGCAGGTGCCAGGGCCGCCTCCACAGAATCATAGAAAGTTTTGGGTCGGAAGGGACCCCTAGAGGTCATCTAGTCCAACCCCCCCGCAGCATGCAGGGACACCACTAACTAGATCAGGTTGCGCAGAGCCCTGTCCAAACTGGTCTTGAATGTTTCCAGGGATGGGGCCTCCACTACCTCTCTGGGCAACCCGTTCCAGTGTTTCATCACCCTCATTGTAAAGAATTTCTTCCTTATATCCAGCCTAAACCTACC